TCCTTTGGTTGCCCTGCACAGGAGAACGGAGCTGGAAAGCAGGTTAGAGGGGTGGGGAGGGAAGGGGGATTTTGCAATAAACTTCCCCTGCCACGCCCACCAAACCACACACACACCCCTCCCCTGAGACCCCTGCTCTACAGCATTCCTAACGGGCCCAGAAACTATTCTAGGAATCATGGAGTAAACGGAGTCCCAAGAACCGCTGGGACCACGAGTGGCAGGGCTGAAGCAAGGACTCTGGACTTTTCTGCTCGAGCCTTTTCCGAAGTGGACTTTTGGCCTGAGCGCAGAGGCCGGAATTCTGAACCACGCGCATCCTCAGGTACTTACCGGACACAATCATAAGGAAGTAATTCTGACAGGAAACTGCCTGGGGCAAATACTGCATGATATTCCAGTTGTTTTCCAGATGGTTCACGATGCCGGTTTCTTCTTGTTCCTCCTCTTCTTGTTCTTCTTCGTCGCTGGCTACGCCTGCTGCCTGTTTATTCCTCGCCGCCTGTGTTTCGTAGAATTTTTATCATAGAATAACAGAGCTGGAAGGCACCTTGGAAGTCATCTAGTCCAACCCACTGCTCGAGACGGAGAGTTGATTCCAAACATTAGCCTCTACCAACCAGTGGCAATCCAGATGATCCCCCTGCACAAGTGGCGTCTTCCCCATTTCACCCCTCTCGTGTTTTCCCCTTCCTCTTGCCCCAAAGAGGGGCTAGCCGTTTGCTTCCTGACCCTAATCCTGCGCGAAGAGCCAAAGCCTTCATGGGGTCCTTCTCCTTGCTGGACCTTTTACCTCATTGCCGTGAGTCCCGGACGGCCCTGGACCCTTGATCCCACCATAATTGGTTGGGTCCATCCACAGCAAGAACTCCCAGCAGCAAGAAAAGGAAATCGCCAGCGAGTGGAAGAGTTCTTTTGAATGGATGCTGGAAGGGAAAAGACAACGACTGAGACTCCCTGGGCAGTTTGCAGAGTCGGCCTCTTGCGCAGAATTCTTGGAATTCAACCACCCAACTTTGGAGGAGAAAATCCTGCCTCCTTCTGCTCTGGGGAGACCCCACAAAACAAGGCAATTGCCCCCCCCACCCTTCAAAGCACAAGGCCATTTTCTTCCAATGGTTCCCCCTGCTCCACTGTGGACTTATAGACTGCTTCACGGTGCTTTACACCCCCCTCTCTAAGCAGTTTATAAATGTCAGCCTATTTGCTACCATCAATCTGGGTCCTCATTTTGCTGGCCTTGGAAGGACGGGAGACTAAGTCGACCTTGAGCCAGTCAGGATCAAATTCCTGGCAGTGAGCAGAGTTAGCCTGCAATATTGCATTCTAACTCCTAGGAAGGAAGGAAGGAAGGAAGGAAGGAAGGAAGGAAGGAAGGAATAGCAATAGCACTTAAGACTTATATACCGCTTCACGGTGCTCTCCAGCCCCCTCTAAGCATTTTACAGAGTCAGCCTCTTTTCCCCAACAATCTGGGTCCTCATTTTACCCACCTCGGAAGGAGGAAAGGCTGAGTCAACCTTGAGCTGGTCAGGATTGAACTACTGACAGTGAGCAGTGAGTTAGCCTGCAATACTACATTTTAGCCACTGCGCCACCACGGCTCCAAAAAGATGGCCACTACTGCGTGATCTGTGCTGTCCAAAGGAGGAGCGTGGCTCTTTCCCCACTTCCCAGTCTCATTTCCCTAAGAGGAAGTTTTCCCACAACACCGAATACCATAATTTTCAGTGGTCCACGACTGTGAAGGAGAGCCTGAGGAGATCTTTACTAACTGATCAACCGCAGCGATTCACTTAGCAACGGCGGCAAGAAGGGCCGTAAAGCAGGACAAAACAAACGTCTCACTGACGAACAGAAATTTGGGGCTCAGTTGTGGTCGTAAGTCACCTGTCCTACGCCAACACGTTACGACATCCTAGACTTTTGAGGAGAACTTGACGCATGTGATGGGGCACACCGGTTCAGAAGTGGAAGATGTGCCTTCTTCCCCCTTGCGTGTATGTCAACATCTGTCTATCCTCTCTATCTCGGGAGGCTCTTTTGATAAGACAGACAAAAACGCCAAATCCAGGCTGAACGTCTGGCTGTCTGACCATAAGCTCATAAATCTTGATATAATTGGACTTCAGTGCAACAAGACAACTTGAGCTGAGACGTCCCCTTGAGATATCAGACAAGAGTCCATTAAATCACCATTTCACTAATGCTTCCGGGAAAGTGCAGGGGAGATATGAGAAGGGTAGGAAAAAACGGGGGGTATCCTTTTCTGAATACGCATAATGCTGGGGTGGGGGCTTTTTATGTCTCCAGATGTACCTTTGGGACTTTATTTTGTTGTTAGAATAATAAAGTTAGTACAAAATAATAAAAACAAGGACAAATAGGCTGAAAAAACAGCTTCTATCCCAGGGCAGGAGCTCTGTTGAATTCTACTGTATAGTGCAGTGTTGGTGGTTTTCGATTCAACGCATGGAGGGTGAAGGATGTGTGTTTGTGTTCATTTTCATGGTCATGATATGCACTGAAGATGGTGTTTGATTTCGTTGTACGGGGTGCAGTAACCAGAAAGTAATGGTCCGGGGTGATAGCGGTGCCAACCTGCTTCCATGACGGACGTACCTGTTGGTGATATACTCGACGTAGGCCAGGGCGTCTTCGATGCGGCGTTTCTTGGTGCACAGAATGATACGGTTGAAGTTGGCATAAATGACCACGGAGCCGAGGCGCTTGAACTCTGCCACCAACCTGGAAGAAAAGAGTAAAGAGTAAAGTAAAGAGGAGAGTGTAGTCTTGTCTAACTGGGGACTGTTGTGGAAACGTTACATACTTGTCTATTTTCTCTGCTAGATGTTATTAGTTTAGGGTGCTATAACTTTCAACTCAGCCTAATTTCAAAGAAGCAAATTTTGCGGGGAGGACAACGAGGCAGTTCCAGTGGTACAAAACAAAGATACCGACCTAAGGGAAACTTTATACCTAAGAGATGCCAGTTTAAAGCAAGCTTTAGATCTAACAGATGCTAGTTTAAAGGAAGCTTTAAACCGCAGAGATGCCAGCCCAAAGCAAGCTTTAGACCTAACAAATGCCAGTCTAATAGAAGCGTAAGAGGTAACAAATGCCAATCTAAGGGAAACTTAAGACTAACAGATGCCAGTCTAAAGGAAGCTTCAGACCTAGGAGATGCCAGTCTAAAGGAAGCTTCAGACCTAAGAGATGCCAGTCTAAAGGAAACTTAAGACCTAAGAGATGCCAGTCTAAGGGAAACTTAAGACCTAAGAGATGCCAGTCTAAAGGAAGCTTCAGACCTAGGAGATGCCAGTCTAAGGGAAGCTTTAGACCTAGGAGATGCCAGTCTACTTGGCCTAGGACAGACTCACTGCAGAAAGAGCTTCTTCATCATGCCATGGAGCATTCGGTGCAGGGCAGGATCGTACAGCAGGGAGGTTGGGGAGCGCAGCCAGCGGTAGAAGTGGATCACCTGGTTGTCAGCATAGACGTTGTGGTACTGTGTGATCTCCTTCACCCAGCCCACCACCAGACTCTTCAAGATCCTGCGCAGGAACAGGAGGAAGGAAGAAGAAACCTTTCATTCTACATGCCTCAGGTGAGCAACCTCTGGGGGTGGCCAGGGGGACGAGCAGCCCCACCTGAAAGTGTTGGAGCAGAGAGCGGTCTCGTCGTAGCTGGCGGGGACGCTGGCCGCCTGGTTGCCCGTGACCATGTCCTCCAGCGACGCCTGCTGGATCACATCGAAGCTGATGCAGAGGCTGGAGGCCCCTTCCATGTCGTTGATGCGGTGAGACTGCAGGATGGTGTTCACAGCCAGGTTCTGGATGTCCAGTTCCACACAGACTGCAGGGAGGCAAAGGGGGAAAAAAAATCTTCATCTTACTCCAAGGGTCACTTCCCTCCAAAAGGGGACAAGCGCAGAGGAGGGACCCATTCTGCATTTTATTTATTATTTACTAGCTGATAAACCGGCGTTGCCCGGGTATTTATTTATCCTAATCCTGACAGGAAAAGCCTCGATTTCGGCGACCTGGAACAAACGTAATTTTAATGTCGGATTTACCCCGTAACCAGAGAGCCCCACTGTGGGGTACTGTATGAAGCCGTTACCATGGCAACTCCACCGCGCTGTACAGTAGAATCCATGTTAAGGCGCAACAGGCTGTATCTTAGCAGACCACAAGAAAACACACCCACCCACCGAGGGGTCTTAGGGGTGTCTTACCCCCACAGTATTTGTTTCCAGAGAATAAATGATCTGTGTGCCAAGTTTATAACCAGGTTGAAATTGCTCAAGGTGTGGCAGAGTTCGGCTGGAACACACACACACACACACACACACACACACACACACACAGCCTTTTTTATATAGAAGATAGATAGATTTAGGAGATTCGTTTTGCCGCCTATTCACACATGGCGACTCAGGGCGGCTTACAAGAATCATACGAAAAGCAATAAAATTCATTAGCAAAGAGAATCTTATGTAACAAAATAATAAAATAACCCCCTCCACCCCGGCGACACCACCTCACACAAGCCATTTAAGGGCCCCATCCTGCTCTGCGTTGCCCAGGCCTGCTGGCAGAACCAGGCCGACGGTGCGTTCCGGAAGAGCGTTAAGAGGTCTTGCATTGTGACGGGGGAAAGGATTGCAGGGAGCACTCGACTTACGACCACAATAGAACTCAACAAGGATGTGGTTCGAGTGAGAAATCGGCAGAATTTGTGACTTTTCTTGCCGCGTTTGTGAAGTGAATCGGCACCGTTGTTAAATTAGAAATGCGGTTATGTTAAGTGAATTTGGCTTTCCCGCGGACTTCGCTTATCGGCAGGTCATGAAAAGGGGATCGCATGACCCCGGAAAAGGACTTGTCTCTGATACCCAAGCGAAGGAGTCTTCCTCAACTCCCTTTTTCCATCAGAGGGAATCGGTCCGATGGCCGTTGGGGCTGCTGCAGGACCACTGTCCGTCCGTTATTCACCTGTGGAATAGCAGCCCGGATGGTTGATCTCCACGGAGGCCCTTTCATCGAACTCCATGACCAGGCGGCTATCATCTGCCTCCTTGCCACCCATGTCTGGGCGGGAGGTGGGCGAGAGCCAAAGGAGGTGATTGTGGCGATGGAGATGGCGAGAGAAAAACAGGTCCGTGCCGAAGATTGAGACGTCATCCGGAAGGTTCCCGACGGGGAGGTGGTAATACCTAGGGAAGACAGAGGAACGAACGGTCACCGTGTGGCGGAGAGCAGAATCCTCTGCCACGGCTTGTGGTTACGACCACAACCGAGCCCAGAATTTACTTTGATAAGCGAGACATCGGTTAAGGGAGCTTCACCCTGTTTTAAGACTTGCCTTGCCACGTTTGTTAAGGGAATCCCGGCAGTCGTTAAGTCAGTCACATATGGCGGTTAAGCAAACTCAGTTTCCCTGTCGACTTTGCTCGTCATAAGGGTCGCAAAAGAGGAATCGCGTGACCCCAGGAGGCTGCCACCATCGTAAGCGTGAGTTGTCAAGCATCCAAATGTCAGTCACATGACCCTGGGGGATGCTGCAATAGCCATAAGTCTGAAAAACGACTCTCGTTTATGACGGTGGCAGTGTCCCAGGGTCACATGATCCCTTTTTTGGTGACCTTTTTGACAAGCAAATCGACAGGGAAATCGGATTTGCTTAACAACCGTGTGACTAATTTATCGACTGCAGCAATTCACTTAACCACCGGGCGAGAAAAGTTGCGATGACCCAAAGGGGTGAGTCACAACAGTAGGTAAAGTCCCATTAATTCCTCCAATTTGGACCCCAAATGTCCATCGGCTGGAGAAATAATTCTCCCAAGAACAGTTTTTAATGAGAAGAAATTCAGTCCGAACCGAAAGTACATATAGATTATAAATAAAAACTAATACAAACCACGCTGACAGACAGGATAAAGAATTACAGAACTCAAAAGATAACAAAACACACAGTTGGGAGGACGCCAGAACCCAGATAAGACTTGACAAACAAAGAGACTGCACGCTTTGCTTCCAGCAAGGTTCTGTGCACAAACACCCTCTTTATCCTGTTTATCCAGCTGCAGCTAATAAAGGGAATCAGGGCCTTTTTCTCCCCCGTAACCCATGTTGCTCCCTGATCCGTTCCCCCCTGCATGTCCTAGGATGAAGGGGGAGTGAGCCTGGGTCTTCCTCTGAATGCCCAGCCGGACTGGGCCCTTCCCCAGTTTCCTCCACAGCCACACTCCCATTCCGTCAGCTGTTCGACCTCCCCTTCGGAATCAGACTCCAACAGGGGCATGACAAAAGTCATAAAATGGGGCGAAACCTCATTAGCAAACAGTTCTCTTAGCAACCTAAATGCCAGGGCTTGTTTGCGGCCGTAACACAAGGACTACCTGGGAAAGAACCAAAGACTAATGATTTGGGACAGGTCAATCTATCTGCCAAAGGCCCAAGAGGTCTCTCTCGCTCTCTTCCTCAAGGCTCACCTGCTCATGTCAAAGGCCTGAGACAGACACAGGTCCAGCTTGAGGTAGTGGCGGATCAAGTGCCGGGCACCATGGCGCTGCCAGTCCAGGATGCTGTAGTTGATGTCATCTGTCACTTGGACAGGAACCAGGGGGAACTCCTCCAGAACCGGCATGGCGCTGGCCAGCCGCTTCAAATCCCAGTTAGACTGCACAGCGATGAGGGTGGGGCCCCGACGCTCGTCCTGTGGCAGACAAGATAAATCCTCTTAAGAGTACTTTAAACTCTTTTCTTTTCAAATAAAGTTTTATTCACTTTTACACAATTAAAAACAACACAAATACAAAACAAGTTTGAAGACCCCTGCTCTAGGAAGAGGGGGAAAAAAAAAAAAAAAAGCCAGATGCCCAGAGCAGGAGAAGCCCCACCACAGCCAAAGGATCTCCTCGCAGGGGCTGGGTTGGAAGAGGAAGACTGCAAAGGGTTTTGGGGGGGTCCACTCCTCACCTTGTAGCCCACCAGGAGGCGCTGGAGCGCTCTGCAGATGCTCTTGAGGTCTGTTTCGGCTCGGACTTCGAAGAGGTGCTTGTCTGGGGGGAGCAGCTCTGGGCCCACCTTCTCCACCATGGAAGCGCGCTCAGCGGAATACAGGTTGCCGAGGTTTGGCATCTGGTTACTGCGCACCTGAGGCGAAGGGGTGACCCAAGAGAGCGGCTGAGCTGCAGGGAGGAGGGGCCCGAAGGAGGGACTCCAAGGCGTGGGGAGATCCGACGTCAATCCGTGTTTTAAAAACCTCAATAATTCTCCTCCCCCTCCACCCCTGAACTTACTGTGTCAAGCACAAAGATGGAGGCTTTGCGCTGGGAAGGGATGAAGAGGCCGAGCAACGCTTTGCTGCCCTGGGAGTGGTGATAGAGGTAGATGTGCCGGATACTCCCTAGTCACAGAAAAGAGCCGGGCGTTAAACAGGAATCAGCACTTCCGCGGCTGTGGTACAGATCAGCTTAACATGGGCCTTCCTACTGTCAGGGTTCCTGTAGAAAAACTTTTAACAAAGTGGAAACTGGGAGTTTTCAGAGTCAGTTTAACGGCAGAGTCCCAAGTAATCGTTCCATGGCAAACACTCGAGTTCCTCAAATATTCCTTTTCTTGGACATTGTTCTGACCAAGGCTTCCAAGACCGTAATTACGCACACGCTTATCTTATAAAGAAGTCTTGTTTTATTGCAACGCTGGGAATTATTTTCATTCCCAGCCGGTAATGAATGCCAAACAGTTCCACAAGATAAGCACCCACCTTTCTGTCCTGTGAAGTGCTGCCAATAACAGAAGTATCAAATGAACTAGAAAAAAAAAATCAACTGAAGTACAAAGAGCTTCAAGGATGAATCTGAACCGAACGAACGACTTTGCTTCCTGCAAAGGTTTCGTCACCTTTGCCTGTCCTTTATCCCTTATGGGAGGGGCAATCACCTCCAAGCTTTACTCCCGAGTTGCCCCTTTTGTCTCAGCTGCTCTCGCCTTCTAGCAGCTCTGTGCATACGCGCACTGGGAACAGGCTCCCCTTGTTCCTCTTCCTCGCTGCTGCCAGATTCCGGAGGCTCCGGAGGCAGCCCCCCACTCCCAGATGGCCCTGGCCCCATCTCTGCATCAGATGCAGGACCCTCGTCCGAGTCCTCTCCAGACTCCTGGACTGGTCCCTGTTCTTCCCCACTGTCCGACTCTGCTGCCGGCAAACCACAACAGAAATGTCATATTGACACATATCTGGTGAAAACCGACTCTGAAATTCCTGCAGTTTTCATCTCATTAAAAGTAAAAGTTTTTCTACTTTCTCAAAACAATCAGTCCCAAAACAATGGTCCAATCATCGTTCAGCACGACCACCGGGTGGCATCACTCCGCCTTCTTCCGACCAGGTGTGAGAATGTCCTTGGTTCCCAAGAGAAAGTATTTTGTTTTGGCTACAAAAACCCCTCTGTCTAAAATCTCCCGGTCCCTGACTCTCAACTCCAGTGTGACAACACTGAAGCGGACAAAAACAGCTTCAGTCAAGAGAGTTTCAGGGCTGATACCCACCTGGCTCCAAGTAGCTGAACTGTGCCAGAGACTGCCTCTCCAGGTGCTCCAGGTCAAAGGTTTCAGCTTCCCGGCCACTCAGGTGCCTCACCAAATGCCTATTCACCATGCAGACACAGCCTAGGTGAATCAGGGCCCGCAGGAGTAACGGCACCTGGCAAAGAGGAACCAGTCAATAAAGATATCTATCTACATAAAAGTGAAATACCGCTCACGCATCATTACAAAATCTCCACAACCGTAAAGCCTACAAACTTGAAATGACGTGGTTGTCTGAAATGGAACACGGTTTCCTGCCCAAGCAGGGGGTTGGACTAGAAGATCTCCAAGGTCCCTTCCAACTCTCTTCTTCTGTTATCATTCTCGTCAAGGCATTACCTGGGTCTCGTAAACCCCCTCAATGTCTGGAGCAGAGAGGCTGGCATTGATCTCATTGACATGCTCCAGGTACATGTCTTCGGACACGGAGTACTCGTACAGGTGGAAGGCCAAGCTGGAACGAGGAAGAATTCGATTCACCTGCAAAGAGAACAGGATGAGCCCTCTTCTGTTTGTGCCCTGAAAGGGTGGGGAATTTAATCCATTTGATCCCTTTCGGATAATAAATTGACTTTTGCCTGTGTGAATCTCCCTGCCTGTGGAATGAATCCAATCGGGACCCTCACACTTTTGGTTCTGGAGTTAAGCTCTTCTTCCTCTTTAAAAAAAAAAAAAAATCTGGGTCTTTTCAGTTCAAATCAGTTCAGTCTTAAGGTAGCCCGCAACTTATGAGCACAATGGAGTCCCAAATGGATGTTGCTAAGCGAGACATTTGTTAAGTGAAGTTTTGCCCCATTTTTTATGACTTTTCCTGCTCCTGTTTGTTAACGGAATTGCTGCCGTTGTTACATTAGCCACACAGTTGTGTAGTGAATCTGGCTTCCCCGTGGACTTGGCTTGTCGCAATGTGGCCACAGAGACTTCTGACAAGTACAATTCCAGAAAAGACAGGGAATTACGCACCGGGTCGTTCTACTAGGAACCAACCTGGAGTTCGAGGTACCTTTTTATAGACCGTGCTCTCTTCAGGTTTAGGAACGCGCTGGTTGATATAGAAAATTCGTGGGACGTTCAGTTTCAGGCAGTAGAGATCGCTCCCAATTACAGCCCAAAGCTTGAAGAGGCCTGGCTGGCCAGTCTCAGCAATCTAGCAGAGGGGGAAAAACAGCGATCAGGACCAGGGTCTTCAATCTAGAGGAAAATACCTCTTACTATGGGAATTGTGGCTAGTAATAAGTTTCCTAGAGCTGGAAAAAACTAGCACTTATGTCTTTACTAAGACATAGAAAGTAGAAATTGGAAAAACCCTGTTATATACTGCCACAAAATAGAATACATTGTAATTACAATATCTATATCTATCTATCTATCTATCTGTCTGTCTGTCTGTCTGTCTGTCTGTCTGTCTGTCTGTCTATCTATCTATCTATCTATCTATCAATATACACACAGTATATATAAATCTGAGAAGCTGAAAGAGTATTATATATATTTAATTAATATCATCATTGTTATCAATGTTTTGTATAAAGTAAATTGACCCAGACAATGTACTGTTTGCACAGGAAAATCTTGATTTTTGTCAACTCCAAGGGGAATCCTCGGAGAAAAGGCCTGGATTGTTTTCTCGAGATGCTACAAATGCTAGCAAGGAAAAGAAATGTAAGCAGTTCAGGTCAGAGGTCTCCAACCTTGGTAACTGTCACCCTGGCAGACTTCAACTCCCAGAATTGCTGGGAGTTGAAGTCCTCCAGGCTCAAAGTTTACCAAGGTTGGAGACTCCTTGTTTAGGGTATGGCCCTGATGGAAGGAACCATCTTAGGAATTAGAAGCTCTGCTTCGTGGACTGTTAGCCCTTCAATCACAGCACATCTCCCGTCATGATGGGGGTAGGCAGGAATCCCTCCTGTTTTGTCCAGCAAAGGATTCTGGGAATTGAAGGACAACGCAGCTGGAGGATACGAGGTCACCGTATAAGCTGTGGTGCCCACACTGAACGACGTCTCTCACGGGGCCCCAGCCCTCAGCAGTTCCTTGCTGCCCATACCTGGACTATCTGCCACGGCATGTCGAGGATACTCCGGGCGGTCTTGCGCAGGAAATTGCTCAGGCCCTTGGAGGGCCCGGCCCGAATCACTCCGCCCCCTGGGGCTGCTTCTCCGTCGGCCAGCCTCCGCCTCTTCCGGCGCTCCTGGCGTTGACGGGCCTGCAGCTCCCACTTCTTTTTATGGTAGCGCAGCCAGAGCAGACGTTCCTCCTATGGGCAGAGCAAACCAGACGGACGCAGCTGTTGGGACAGGGAGCTGCAAAGCCGTCTCAGGTTGCTTGAGCTCAGGCACCTGAAATAATTCATCTCCTAGACCAGCGGTGGGATTCAGACGGTTCACACCGGTTTACAAGAACCGGTTGTTAACTTTCTGAGCAGTTCGGCGAACTGGTTGTTGGAAGAAATCATTAGGGTGGAGAAACGGTTGTTAAATCATTTGAATCCCACCGCTGATCTAGACCAGGGGTCCCCAACCTTTGTGGCATGGTAGATTGGCTGGAGAGAGTGGGCAAAGAGGCGCATCGGAACCGCAGCGGGCTGGCAGGCACACGACTGTGAAGAGAAACTGTTCCAACTCAACTCCATCTGAGCAATGGCCATAAACTTCCAATAACTTCCTTTTTCTGAAACTATCTCAGGGGGTGAAGGGATCAACGGCTTCCCCACCGGGGGAACCCCAACCTCAGAGCAACCCTGCTGCTAATCGGCTGAGGAGCTTTTGGCCTGCTCTCTGACGCGATTGCAGCCCCGAGGAAACTGACTTACCTTCGTGGCGCCAGCGGGCGGTGGGGGTCCCAGGATCTCCCTCCAGGATTGGGTGAGCTCCAGAGCTTGGGACTGCTGCTGGCTCTCCTCTGCGGTGAGGGTTCGTTTACGCTTGCTTGAGATGGGGGGCACTGGCTGCAGAGGTTTGGTGACCCCAAAATCTTCCATATCGGCCACCTGACTGTTTGGGGTATTCTCACTGGGTAAGTTACTGGAGACCTACAAGGAAAGTCCGCAGGCGATTATATGAAGGATGTTAGCTCTGCTATCTTGGCTACAGTTGGCTGGCATCCTGGCATAACAGAAGAGGGGTGGTTAAGAGGAACTTGGCGAATGTAAAGGGCGGGGAGGAAGATGGTACCAGGAACCAGAGGTGCTAAGTGGCCAGATTTCACCGCCTCGAGGACGCCGGGCCTTGGAACGAATACAAAATCTCTTTGAGACATACCTACCATCAAAGCAGCTCTCAAAACATCAAACCAGGATATTGTTGGACGCTAACAGCCCAGTATATAAGTCTACATAAGGGCTGTTGCTGTACCGCATCTTTGTCCCGCCCTTGAGCCCCAGAAGCGGTGGCAAGAGAACGGTAGGGGTGCGATCTTACCTGTCTTTTGCCTTCGCTGACAAAGAGCTCACTGATTTTTTTCTGCTTGTACGCATCGTTTTTCTCCAGCAGCTTCTTGTGCAGCCAGTCAGGGTGACGGACACGGGGCACTGGATTCTTCACCTGCCAGGAAGCCACACATTGAGCCCTTGCTCGGGGTTTCACTTCTTTCCTCTTTTCCAGGGTGGACGGTACATCTTTTTACGTTGATTATATCAGGGGTCGCCAAACTTTTGGACTACAGGGACCACCAAATTAATAATTTTAAATCCTGCGGACCACTAATATGAATTTTGACGGACGGTGGCTTGTTGACAGTGGGAGAGAGAAAGACAGAGAGAGAGAGATCTGATCTAACCTCACTCTCCCCCTTTCTCTCTCTCACACACACACACAAACGAAGCAGGGGTGGGATTCAAATTTCTTAACAACCGTTCTGTGGGCGTGGCTTTGTGGTCATGTGACTGGCTGTATGTAAATATTATAAATATTTATATAAATATTGATTGATTTTTTTTAATAAAAAAAGAGCAACTTTTACCCCAAATCAGGCAAAACAGGCGGGCAGATTGAGTTGCTCACAGAATCACAGATTCACTTACAGATCTGTGTTTCTGCCATCGGCTAGCTGAGTCTGCACTGCTTCAGTCCTAAGGGAGGTTCGGCTCTGCTTAAAAGCATCGGTCTGAAATGGTATAGGCTCTCCACCCTGAGCAGGCGGTTGGATGAGAAAATCTCCAAGGTCCCTCCCAATTCTTGTTAATTCTGTTTTGCTGTTTAATGTAGTGGGCCGCTGGCCCTTCTCCCCAAGGATTCACTCCTAAGATTACCTGCTGCAGGGCGGCTGGGATGGTGATAATCTTTTGGATTGTGCTACCCAGTCTTTCGATGTAATAATCCCAGTCTAGGATCTGCAAATAAAAAGCAGAGAACCCCGATGGTAGCCCGAAGGGATACAACAGAGTCACCTAAGTTCAATCTCTGGTTATTAACGGCGGCAAGCAGAAGGGATTCTCAGGAATCCTGGGGAAGCACAGGTTTTGCAACGAGCCACGAGAGTCTGGACGGTACCCAGATCGGCTCCATTCAGTCCAGCCTAATTGGCTTACCGTTCGGATATCAAAATCCTGCAGCGAAGGGCTTTTGAGCCACTTCCGGAGGTAATGCTTGCGCACCGAGAGCTCGGCCTGGAAAATGGCGAGTGGGATGGCTCTGGGTGGAAGGAAGAACAGATTAGCGCTCCTCAAAGCCAGTCGAAGAAAAGTATAGGCAGTCCTTGACTGATAACAGTTCATTTAGTGACCGTTCGACGTTACAAAGGCGCTGTATACCGTCACCTGAAAACTTTTTTTTCTGGCTCCAAGCAGGCCTCAGAAGGATGGGCGTCTCCCCCTTTTAGGGTCTCTCCGCTTCATCCCCCGATTGAGAATGACAGCTCCCCACCCTCCTCAAAACACAGCGGACGCACCTCTCTGTAACCGGGGAGCCTTCCGGTTTCTTGGAGATGATAAACCGGCAGCTCAGCCCAGCGTCCTTCACCATCTGGTCCCCGAGAAACTCCGCCAGGCGCTTGGCTGTGCTTATGGACGTGGATTTCTGCTCTCCGTAATCCTCCAGCTTCCGAGACATGGATCGATTCTCTGAGATCAGCTCAAACAGCTCGGAATCGGGCATATTAGCTGCCTGGAAGGAGAAAGAAAACAAAAAATCCATGTCTTTTCTGCAGCTGCTCCCATTCAGCTACACCCAGTTTCATCCTCTCCGTGTCACATTTGAACACCCGACAGGCTCAACCGGGGAAGCAAAAGGAAGAGGCGCCATACCGACAGCAGCAAGACGCTACAACACGCGGTATCATTTATAATGGACTTATTCTCCTCGCTTCGGTTTCCGCGACGTCCCGTTTAAAGGGTAGAAGAGCAACAGCTGGGTGGAAAAACACCTGGGTAACTTCAAAATTATGAAAGCAGGTCCCAAAGTCTGTTTTTCACTGTATGAATCCTCCTCCTCCTCCTCTTTTAATGACCCTATCATCCCTTGCGGGGCAGAGTCTGGGCAACTGAATGGAACTGAGTGCTTACTGGCCAGATGCCTTTCTTGTTGCCAGTACGGAGCTATATGAATGCCTTTTGGAAAAGGCCTACTTTCTCAGTTGTCCCAGTGTTCTGATTCCGGAAAGTGATTTTTCCACCGCAAGGATTGATTTGCTACCTTCCAAAGGCCACGAAGCTGTAGCGGGGGTGGGGGGAGGGCTCTCTGCCCACCTGTACTCGTCTCGTCTCCCTCCCAGGGTGGGGGAGGGGTGGCTACAAAAAACACCACGGGATCAACCTGCCCGACTGCTGCAGGAAGAGATCCGACTCCTGAGCCCCACCTTGCTGTACAGGACATCAAGCCAGTAATCGGCTACTTTGGCGACCGACGCATACACCTCCTCCAGGGTCGTGCCATTCAGGAAGGCCTCGAAGACCGATGACTGGAAGATCTTCACTAGCTGCAGCTCCCCTCGTCGCTTCACCTCAAAGCCCTTCAGCTCAGCCAGGGAACCGTCTTCATTGAACACAGCGTATCTGGGACACAGCCATCGTCATCCTCAGGACAGAAGGGAAACTCCCTCCGCCCACACCTAGTCTTTATCTGGGTGGCAACCTCTGATCCCTACCGCCCTGCTAAATCCAGGCGTGCCAGTGTGCTTGGGTGCCGCATTTCGATACCCCTTCCAGCCTTCCTTTTAACCCAGTTGCCCCATCTAGCAATAGCAATAGCACTTAAGACTTATATACTGCTTTTGTGGTGCTTTCTAGCCCCCTCTAAGCAGTTTGCAGAGTCAGCCTCTTGAGCCCAACAATCTGGGTCCTCCTTTTACCCACCTCGAAAGGAGGGAAGGATGTGTCAACCTTGAGCCTGGTGACATTCGAACTGCTGGCAGTCGGCAGAATTAGCCTGCAACACTACATTCTGACCACTGCGCCACCATGGCCCTTCCTTCCTTCCTTTCCACTTAGCTCTTAGACTTATAGACCACTTCACGGTACTTTCCAGCCCTCTCTAAGCGGTTTACAGAGCCAGCCTCTCGCCTCCAACAATCTGGGTCCTCATTTTACCCACCTTGGAAGGATGAAAGGCTGAGTCAACCTTGAGCCTGGTGAGAATCGAACTGCCAAACTGCAGTCAGCCGGCAGTCGGCAGAAGCAGCCTTCCTGAAACTTTTGTGTTCCCAATCCTGGACTCTCACCTTTTCTTCAGCTTCTTGCCTTCCTCCTTGGACGCTGGAAGAATCATAGCCAGGTAGGGCCCATCTACTTCAAAAAAGATGCTATTCTCGGAGCGGGAAACATACTTGAGGGATGTTGGGTCCACCAGCTCTTGGTACTGGGTGTTTGTAAAACCCTCCTGTACAAAAACACACACAACACAAACAGCCTTTGGTACCATTTCTCTTATTTCCGCTAAAAAGAGAGAAGGCGCATCATCCCAACAGCGTTCAAGCTTTGCTACATATATTTGTTGCACATTTTGCCAATTGTACAGCTTGTTTTTTTCATGCATGCATATTATGCAAGGACAAAATTGTGTCTTGCTAACCTTCTTTTACAGTTTAGGCCTGAGGTGCCCTAAGGAGCAAGATTCCTGTCTGATGTTACACAGGCCCACACAAACATTGTAATTTGCTTTCTACTGTATGACTAACTTTGTCGCTTGTATCCTTACAATTTATACTGTTTCCTAATATGATTTGATTGCTTATTGTACCCTGTGACCATCATTAAGTGTTGGACCTGATGATTCTTGACGAAATGTATCTTTTCTTTTTATGTATACTGAGAGCATTTGCACCAAGACAAATTCCTTGTGTGTCCAATCACACTTGGCCAATAAAGAGTTCTATTCTATTCTATTCTATTCTATTCTATTCTATTCTATTCTATTCTATTCTATTCTATTCTATTCTATT